TAGTTATGTTTCTGTAATTCTGTCAGATTCTACCATTATTTCTGTTTTTTTCAAAACTTATTTTTAAATTTATTTATTTATTTATTGTAGACGTGGTCTCACTATGTTGCATAGGCTGGTCTCAAATTCCTGGGTTCAAGCAATTTTCCCACCTCAGCCTTCCAAAGTGCTGGGATTTTAGACGTGAGCCACCATGCCTGGCCCATTATTTCTATTTCTAATGATAAATCCTGGATGGCATGTCCAAGAAGGCTGCAGCCAGACTATCATAACTCTTGGAAAGAATCTGCCAAGGGTCACTTTGTAAATGTTTGAATTCCTCTATTGAATTGTTATTGTCTTTTCAATTCCTTCCTCAGAATTAAAAAAAATTCTAACTTAATCTGTAATTTAAAGCTAAACTAACTTTAAGATTTTGATCTAAAAGTCTCACATATAAAAACTGCAGTGTTGAAGTACAGTAACTATTAGCTGCAGCTTTGCCAATTGCAATTAATTGCAATTAATTTGCAATTAATTCCCAAAGGCACATTTAAAAAAAAAGTTATGTTCTTTTGTTCTTATTTTCTCCTTTGCAAGACCCATTTGCAATGCAGAACGTTTCAAAGAGGGTATGTAAAGGATTGTACAAAGAATGAGAAACATGTGATTGTCATCTGGCCCTTTTGAATCTCTCTTGGCAGTACCATCTTACACTGATATCAGCTCACTTCACTTGGGCTTGACTTAGGAAATAGCATGTTTCCACAAGGTAATGCCTCATTTATCAGATGTGCTCCAGGAGTATCTGTTGGATTAATGGTTTTCTAGATAATTGGAGTTTTACCATTTAAGCACAACTTGTAAAAAAAAAAAAACCCCTTTAAATATATATGACAAATAAACCCAAGCTTATGTAAATGGTCATGTTGCTAAAAATAGCCAGCTTAGTAAGTAAGCATCCAGGTGGTGGAGGTATGAGTATTCCCTGTAAATCTCCCTTAACTTTGTTTGAATTTTTTCCTAATGTTGGGAGAAAGTATTATTTCAGGAGGCCCACAACACTTATTCTAACAATTCCACTCAGGCTGCGGAATGGCTGAGGTTGCAGGCTCTGGAGCCAGATTACCTGGGTTCTTATCCAGCCTCTGCTGTTTCCTAGTTGTGTGCCTTCGGGTAGTCATTGCATTTCTCTGGGACTTGTCTTTCTTGTTTGTAAAAGGGGAATGATTATAGTGCTTCCTCTTGGGTTTGTTGTGAGTGAAATGAGAGGATGTATATAAATGTACTTCAAACAATATGAAACACTCAGTAAACATTGGTGGTGGCTGCCACTACTGCTATTTTGTAATTGCCTATAATTGATGGTTGGCTACCCACAGCATGGTTAGCAGCGATACCCTTCTTGGTCATTTATTTAAATGATAATTTGGGGCTAATTTGAGACTTAATATTCAATGACATTGGGACTATTTCCAAAAATCAAATCCATTTTCATGTTGTCCAGTTCTCAGCCTTAGTCAAGTAAAACACCAGGAACACTATTTACCTTTTTCTCAGTGAAACCAAGTGCCCATCACAGTTCTGGCCCTGTGTTTCAGGTGCTTGGGACGTGTTGCTATGGCTTTTCACTGGCCTGCTCCTGAGTTCTGCTGGCTGCCTGGTTTTCTGGTGAGCTCATGTGCTCTTCCTTTGTGTTGGTGCTTCTTCCAGCTGGTGGGTCTGCATCTCCCTTCTCTCACTCCTGGCCAACCTGATGTTCACAACCATAGCCATTAACCTTATGTAGGGCAGAAGTAAATATTGCCATTGTAAGTCAAGAAGTAGCACAGAATGATGTCACCTGTATTAGAACCTTAGAAGTGTGAATGGTGACCTTCTTCGATAGAACTGAGTGCTGTAACTTTCTGCCCTCTACCTGTCTTGGGTTCGACATCCTTTGAATGGTTTTTAGTATATTCACAGAATTGGTCAACCATTCCTATTACCTAATTTTAGAACAGTTTCATTGCCCCAAGAAGAGACTTCATACCAATTAGCAATCACTCCCCCTTCTCCCTTCCCCTTCCCACCTGGAAATCACTGATCTACTTTCTGCCTCTGTGGATTTGCCTCTTATAGACAATTCATATAAATGGAGTCATAAAATATGTGACATTTTGTGTCTGACTTCTTTTACTTAGCATCAAGTTTATCCACATTGTAGCATGTATCAGAACTTCATTCCTTTTTATGGCTGAATAATATTCCATTGTATGGATATATCACATCTTATTTATCCATTTATCAGCTGATAGACATTTGGGTTGTTTCCACTTTTTGGCTATTTTTTGAATAATCCTGCTATGAACATTTGTGTACAAGTTTTTGTGTGGACATATTTTCACTTCTGTGTATATACCTAAGGAGTGGAATTGCTGAATCTTAAGGCATTTCTTATTTAACATTTTTTTTTTTATTTTGAGAGTGCAGTGGCACACTCATGGCCACCCCAGCATCGACCTGCTGGGCTCTGGTGATCCTTCTGCCTCAGACTTCCAAGTAGCCAGAACTACAGGTGCACGCTACCATGCCCAGCTAATTTTTTTATTTATTGTAGAGACAAGGACTTACCATGTTGCCCAGGCTGGTCTCAAACGCATGGGCTCAGGCAATCCTCTCACCTCGGTCTCCCAAAGTGCTGGGATTATAGGCTTGAGCCACTCCACCTGGCCCTATGTTTAACATTTTGAGGAACTACCAAACTGTTTTCCAAAGTGGATGCAGCATTTTATATTTTCACCAGCAATGTGTAAGGGCTCCAATTTTCCACATCCTCATCTACTTGTTATTATCTGTCATTATAATTACAGTCATCCTGGTGAGTGTGAAGTAGTATCTCACTGTGGTTTTGATTTGCATTTCCTAACAACTAATGATGTTGAACACTGTAATGTGCTTATTAGCCATTTGTGTATCTTCTTTGGAGAAATGTTTATTCAAATCCTTTACTCATTTCAAAATTATCTTTCTGTGGTTGAGTTGTAAGAACTCTTTCTATTCTGAACACACTTTATCGAATGTATGTTTTGCAAATCCTTTCTCATTCTGTGGATTATCTATCTTTTCATTTTCTTGATGGTGACCTTTGAAAAATACAAGTTTTTATTTTTTTGAAGTACAGTTTATCTGTTTTTTTCTTTTGTCATTTGTGCTTTCAGATAGTCTGTCTGATGTCGTCTATAACTTGCTTGAAAATCTGATTTGCTCACTGGGACTATAACTGTATTATTCTTAGTTTCCCTGATTAAGGATTAAAAAGCAATTTATTTAAAATGTTTGCCAATTATATATAAAGGAGTTTAGAAATGCTGGTACTTTTTGAGCTTTTTAAGCCCATTTCTGTGCTCTTCACCTCAGGAAATAATTTGAATGAAGAAAAACATCCTATATGCCGAGAAATGTTCATTTCACTGTCACCCATGAGTTTGGGATGCCGCTCAATAGCAGGGGGAAGATGAGTTAAATCCATTGTGGTATGCCATTAGGTAGCTATCAGATATTATAATTATGAAGCTTATGTAACAACAATGTTTATGATATAATGTTCAGTGAAAAAAGACAAGTTTGTGCTCATTATGATAAAATATGTATAAAGTATTTGGACTGCATGGAAAGGTATACAAAATTATAGTTTTATTTTATTACATTTTATCTAATATTGATATTTTACCTTCATAATTAAAAAAATTAGTACGAACATTGGCATGGCATTTCAATTTGGTGGGGGAAATGGTGACAGGTTGTTAGATTGGGTGTATATTTTGTCCTTTTCTCATGCCACCTTTTTTTAGTAATTATTTTTATCATCATCATGATTGTCCAGGTTAGGCTAATAAATTTAAAAAATAGTTTGTTGTGCTTGTTTACTATGAGTCTGAACAGAGATATTTTAATTTACTTCTTTATATCCAATTCAACTGATAACTTGATTTTAGTATTAGAGTTACTATTATTTTAGTCATTACAACATTATAATTTGCTAAAGAGAAAGGTAATGATATTATAATATGTGAATAATAGGGGTCACAGAAGCACTTTTCTCATGGCATCTCATGAAATAATTATTATTGCAGTTACTTTATATATAAGTAAATCAATCTCCCCAGTTTTTGAAATAAGTTTCAAAGAGACCAAAGATTTAATCGTTTTATTTGAGAAACAATAAGGGCACCAAAAAGAAAAAGTAAGCATAGTACAAGTTTATGTGTGGTATACACACCCAAGGTGAGGACACACTTTGAGTTTATGTACCCAGAGAGAGGATATAAAGCTTTTCTGACCCACAAACTACTTCTGTGGATCCCCTGAACCTCTGACCTTGGACTTCCTCTGAGTGACAGCGGTCCAGGACATAGCCAGTAACTATGAGGAAATCTCTTTTCCATGCCCTGGATCAAGTGTGGTAGGCAGCAGGCAGGGAAAGGCCAAAGAGATAGGCCTGGCTCTTGCAGCAGCAGCCAGTCTTCCCAGCCACCCCCACCCACTTCACCCATTCCATTCACACACTGCAGCTAACTAACTTCATCCCTTGGCCTGGCTTGAGAGAAACAGAGACATCATCTTGTTCTCATATGTGGGAAGGCTATGAAAAGAAAAACTCTTGCTGGCCCAAACATTTAAACAAGAATTACCCTGGAATCTTTTGTTCTTACTCTGATATATTCAGAATTAATCTGAAGGCCCAAAAAGGAGATGTTTTTGTTTTTGATTTTTAATCTGAGTTATTTAATGCAAGGATGGGAGAGAGATGAGAAACAAAATACATTGCTTAAGTCTATCCAATGGTGTTGGAACATCCTCAGGTCATTCTTTGCTAGTCATTAGGGGCTCCTGACTCAGACTTCACAGCCAACCTACTGATTTAACTTCATAGGAGAAGACTTAGATGGTAGAAGGTAAGCAGTAGAGTATGTCTGGGTATCTGAGAAGTATATAGATAAAGCTTCTGAGATCTTAATCATATTTTTCTGTTTCCTCAGGTTTAATAGGGAAAACTTGCTTTCTGCAAACAACTGAAAAAACTGCCCTTGGAAATTATTTCTCTGGCCCTCATGGAATAGCTAGAACTTGTACTGTGAGGCCCCTGATGGGACAAACTTTCACCCGCTGATCACCTAGTGATTATCGCCATGGCCAGCAAGAGGAAATCTACCACCCCATGCATGATCCCAGTGAAGACTGTGGTGCTGCAAGATGTCAGCACAGAAGCACAGCCTGCCGAGGCCTTACCAGAAGGACCCCAGCAGGATTTGCCCCCAGAAGCCCCTGCCGCCAGTAGCGAGGCTGCCCAGAACTCCAGCAGCACTGATGGCTCTGCACTGGCCAATGGGCACTGGAGCACTTTGGATGGCTATTTATATTCCTGTAAATACTGTGATTTCAGATCCCACGACATGACCCAATTTGTGGGACATATGAATTCAGAGCACACAGACTTTAATAAAGACCCAACTTTTGTATGCACTGGGTGCAGTTTTCTGGCAAAAACCCCTGAGGGGCTTTCCCTGCACAATGCCAAGTGTCACTCGGCAGAAGCCAGCTTTGTGTGGAATGTGGCCAAGCCAGACAATCATGTGGTCGTGGAGCAGAGCATCCCCGAGAGCACCAGCACTTCTGACCTAGCAGGCGAGCCCAATGCCGAAGGGACCGATGGACAGGCAGAAATCATCATTACCAAAACTCCAATCATGAAGATAATGAAAGGCAAAGCTGAAGCCAAAAAAATTCATACGCTCAAGGAGAATGTCCCCAGCCAACCTGTGGGTGAGACCTTACCAAAGCTGTCGGCTGGAGAAGTGGAAGTCAAAGAAGGGGATCACTCCTCTGTCAATGGAGCAGCTCCAGTCAGCCAGGCATCTACCAGCTCTGCAAAACCCCTCCATGCCACCAATGGGCCCTTGATAGGAACAGTGCCAGTTTTGCCAGCTGGTATAGCACAGTTCCTTTCCCTCCAGCAGCAGCCCCCGGTGCATGCCCAGCACCATGCCCACCAATCACTGCCCACATCCAAGGCCCTTCCCAAAGTAATGATCCCTCTGAGCAGCATTCCAACATACAATGCAGCCATGGACTCAAATAGCTTCCTGAAGAACTCCTTCCACAAGTTCCCCTATCCAACCAAAGCCGAGCTCTGCTATCTGACTGTTGTGACCAAGTATCCAGAAGAACAGCTCAAGATATGGTTCACAGCCCAAAGGCTAAAGCAGGGGATTAGCTGGTCCCCTGAGGAGATCGAGGATGCCCGGAAAAAGATGTTCAATACAGTCATCCAGTCTGTGCCTCAGCCCACAATTACAGTTCTGAATACCCCCCTGGTCGCCAGTGCTGGCAACGTCCAGCATCTCATCCAGGCAGCTCTCCCAGGTCATGTTGTAGGACAGCCAGAGGGCACAGCAGGGGGACTTCTGGTCACTCAGCCACTGATGTCCAATGGGTTGCAAGCACCAAGTTCATCTCTCCCCCTCGCAGTGACATCAGTCCCCAAGCAGCCAAGTGTGGCACCTATTAACACTTTGTGCTCAAATACAACATCGGCTGTGAAGGTAGTCAATGCGGCTCAGTCACTCCTCACGGCCTGCCCCAGCATAACTTCCCAAGCCTTCCTTGATGCTAGCATCTACAAAAATAAGAAATCTCATGAACAGCTGTCAGCTCTGAAAGGGAGCTTCTGTCGCAACCAGTTCCCAGGGCAGAGTGAAGTTGAGCATCTGACCAAAGTGACTGGCCTCAGTACCAGAGAGGTGCGGAAATGGTTCAGTGATCGGAGGTACCACTGCCGGAACCTGAAGGGCTCTAGAGCCATGATGCCTGGAGATCACAGCTCCATCATCATTGACTCTGTACCAGAAGTGTCCTTCTCCCCATCGTCCAAGGCCCCTGAAGTAACCTGCATACCAACAACAGCCACACTAGCAACCCACCCTTCCCATCCTTCTGCCAGACGACAATCTTGGCACCAGACTCCTGACTTCACATCAACCAAATACAAGGAGAGAGCCCCTGAGCAGCTCAGAGTCCTGGAGAGCAGTTTTGCACAAAATCCCCTACCTCTTGACGAGGAACTGGATCGCCTGAGAAGTGAAACCAAAATGACTCGAAGAGAAATTGATAGCTGGTTTTCAGAGAGACGGAAAAAAGTCAATGCTGAAGAGACCAAGAAGGCTGATGAGACTGTCTCTCAGGAGGAAGAGGAGGCTGCAGAGAATGAGGGCGGAGAAGAGGATTTGGCTACTGAGCTAAGGATCTCTGGTGACAATGGCTCTTCAGAAGTGCCCAGCAGCTATGCCTTGGCAGAACGCAAAGTCAGCCCCATCAAAATCAACCTCAAGAACCTGAGGGTCACTGAAGCCAATGGCAAGAGCGAGATTTCAGGGATGGGTGCCTGTGAGCCTGAGGATGATGGGTCAGGCAAGCTGGCAGAGCAGCCCCCGGGCAAAGTGAGCTACAAAAAGACAGCCCAGCAGCGGCACTTGCTGCGGCAGCTCTTTGTTCAGACACAGTGGCCAAGTAACCAGGACTATGACTCCATCATGGCCCAGACAGGTCTGCCGCGGCCAGAGGTGGTACGCTGGTTTGGAGATAGCAGGTATGCTCTGAAGAATGGCCAGCTCAAGTGGTATGAAGACTACAAGCGGGGCAACTTCCCGCCAGGGCTGCTGGTCATCGCCCCTGACAACCGGGAGTTCCTGCAAGACTATTACATGACCCATAAGATGCTGTTTGAAGAAGACCTGCAGAATCTCTGTGACAAGACCCAGATGAGCCCCCAGCAGGTCAAGCAGTGGTTTGCTGAGAAAATGGGTGAGGAGACTCGGGCCGTGGCAGACACAGGCAGTGAGGACCAGGGCCTTGGTGCTAGTGAGCCTGCAACTGTTCACAAAGGGATGAGTGACACCTTTTCAGAGGTATCTGAGAACAGTGAGTCGTGGGAGCCCAGTGTTCCTGAGGCCAGTTCAGAGCCCTTTGACACGTCGAGTCCCCAGGCTGGACTTCAGCTAGGTAAGGAGTCTACAGGATCCATGGCTATCCTCTGTGGGTAAGGGGAGGATGCATGCACTCATGGGTGGGTACTGAATTTGTCATGCAGGGGGCAACTGCTGTCCCTAAAGCTGCCTGGCAGCTGGACTAACGGTCTGGCTGCTTCAGGGTACAACTGGCAGCAGAAGCCACAGGCGTATAGTATTAGGTTGATGCATAAGTTCATAGCGTTTGTTTTTGGAATGGCAACACTACAGTGTTGGGAGTTTATCATTTGTCATTTGAAATGACAGTGTTGTGCTTGTGAACACACCTTGCATTTTGCAGATGTGAAGAAAGTTAGTGCTATTTGTGGGCTAAAGAAGATGGAGTGCCAAGTGGAAAAAAACGAATACTTCCGACATATTCTTCTGTTTGAGTTTAACAGAGGAGTAAAGGCAGCAGAGGCCGCTCGAAACATTTGTTCCATGTACGGGGAGAATGCCATCGGGGAAAGCACGGCAAGGAAATGGTTTTGTCGTTTCAAAGAGGGCCATTTTGACCTGAGTGATTCTCCACGTTCAGGAAGACCATCGGGCTTTGATGAAGACCGTTTACATGCTTTAATCCATGATGATCCACATAAATCGACCCGAGAACTGGCAAATGTGATGAACTGTGACCAGTCAACCATCGTGCGACATTTGCATTCCATGGGCAAGCGGAAAAATGCTACGAACTTATGCATCAGCCCAATATAATGAGGGGTTGCGATTTGGTTTTTTTGTTTAGCTTCATGTTTTTTTTAAAAAAAACATGTGCAGAGGAAAAAACATGGCGAACCTAAAGGGGTCCACGCTTTCCTAACCATTTTCTAGCAATAGGAGAATAGGTGAAAATGTAGTCTGAGTCAGGCAGATGCACAGCCACAGGGTAGGAGAGAGCATAGCAGTAAGAGGAAATTTAACTCAAGTTGGTGAATAAATTGGCCTTAGATACATGAAGTGTGTTTTTCTGATGAGGAAAATCCTGTCTTTTATCTTGATTGTTCTTCCTGATGTAGAAGAAATGTTTATCATAACAGAAAATCACCTTCCCTCTTTGACATATATGGAATCAAAAGCTTGGATTTTATGCTCCAGTTTGTCTTGGCTGTACTTGAAAGCAAACTTTAGGAGGCTATTTTATTTAAGACATACTTTTGAAGCCGCAAACAAGTCATAGTATTGGGTGTTAATTTCCTAGATTTTTGGTCTCTGAATTTCCAGCCTCTCTTTTCCCTCTCTCTTGTGTTTGTCTCCTCATTAGAGGCCCCATCCCAGAGCATTCAGAAGTCCAGGCGAGAGCCATGAGGGAGGAGAGATGCAGAAGCTGAAGGGACTGGGGCTCTGAAACAGCAGCCCTGATACCCAGAAAGTGTCGGTGGTACTGGGCAATGAGACTTTGGCATGAGCTGCTTCAGTATGTGGGGTCTCATATTTGGCACCTCATGCCTAGGGCCAAGCATAGTGCCCTGTCATCAAAATTCCCACAGAATTCCCTGGATGGTGTTCCATTTTTCCCTATCATTGTTTGTTTGTTTTGGTCTGGCAAATACCAGTTCCTCCATACTAGTTGCTTTATACTTAAGACCTTTAAAAAATGACAAAATTTTATTTTCTTTCTCTGAATATTTTAACAGTGTGAAACATAGTTATGCTATTGTTTCTTTACTCAGTTAAGGAAAAGGAAACTTCCAAGTCTGTCCATAATTTGGACAGGGTGGGGGGGGGTACCATATTGTCCATCTGTTTAGCATATGCAGAAAGCCTGTTCTTTTCATGCTCACATACTAAGGCAAAAACCAACTCTATAAAGCCCACAATGAGAGCAAACACCTGGTGGCGCCCAAAGTCAGTAGTCAGCAGTAAAGGGTGTGAGCACACAGGGCTGCTGTCTTCTTGCTTGTGTCCTCCAATTCCAGCCATGTTCTCACTAAAGCAAGAGTGGGAAAAGATGCTCCCCTTCTTTGGACCCCACGGCTCACAGACTGCTTCACAAAGTAATACATCCTAGAATCAGAGCAGCATTGGAGGGAGGTTTCTTATGGCTGTTTTGACACTTTTTCAATGTAGACCAGGTTCCCTCTGCTTGCTTACCTGGGAGACTCTATCCAATTTGGTTTAAGTTGTCCTTATGTTGCACCCAGTTCTACACTTCTGGTGATTACCAGTAGGCCAAAGTGTCATGCTCAAGAGAGATGAGAATGTTTGAATAAATGTGCTACAAAGGCTAACATGGAGAGAGTAATGTCATGAAAGATGGCAGAAAAGGAAGCATCAAAAATCTGTTTCTCCACCAAAACAATTATTGAGCTGGCACTAACTATCTGAAGCAACTATCTTGGAACTCTGTAGTCTAGTTGGACACTTGCAACATCCAGGAGAAAGTTTGATAGAGAGGCTTGTAAATTTTGGTGAATTTTCTCGTTTTACATAGTGGCATCCCTCTTCCCCATCCCTGCATCAGGCAACTGTAGTGACTGTGGCCCAGGTTCCTGGTGTGATCTGTTGGTACCAGGGTGAGCAATAAACAATATTGTACTCCAAAAGTCAGGATTTTGTGTTTTGATTGCTGATCACTGCATTAGATCACTGAGGGCCAGCACAGAGGCTGGTCATTGTTTCAACTTCCACATGCTAAAGCAGCATCCTTGCTACAAGGAGCTATAAAGAAATAATGTGCCCCTTTTGGCAAAATAGACTTTTAAGGAAATCTTAGGCCACTGGTTTACCACAAAAACAGAAACATCAGTGACCCTATACCACAAAGAATACACATTTTGAAAAGTAGTTTAGAAAAGCCACAAACAGATGGCTTTAGCCCTCAAAGCAAAAATCAGCAATCTCTGAGGCATGCAGAATTAGATTTTCATTTACCACAGCAAAATAGAATGTTCAGTTCTTAACAAAAAAGTACAAAATATACAAGGAAATAGTAAAGTTTGGTCCAATAACAGCAAAAAAAAAAAAAAAAAGGATTTCACAGACATAATTCTTGAGGAAGTCTGGACATTAGAACTATTAGTCAAAGACATTAAATCAACTATCTTAAGTATGTTCAACAAGCTAAAGGAAATGAACAAAGAACTAAAAGAAATCAAGAAAACTATGAATGAACAAAGTAGAATATCAGTAAAGAAATATAAAAGGAATGAAACAAATTCTAGACCTGAAAGGTACAATCACTGAAATGATTCAATACATATTTGAGCAGGCAGAAGAGAATCAGTGAATATGAAGATAAAATAATTGAAATTATCCAAGGAGCAGAAAGAAAAAGAAAGAAGTGAGCAAAGCCTGAGGGACCTGTGGGACATCATCAAACATACTAATATATTCATTATAGGAACCCTAGAAAAGAGGGAGAAAGGGGTAGAAAGAATATTTGAAGACAAAGGGGCAGAAGACTTCCCAAACCTAATGAAAGACATGAATCTGAAATCCAAGTTCAATGAACTCCAAGCAGGATAAACTCAAGGAAGGATAGCCACACCAAGGCACATTATATTAAAATTGTCAAAAGACAAAGCAGCACAAGTTAAGTGACTAATTATATACAAAGGCTCCTCGATAAGTTTAACAGCTGATTTCGCATCAGAAATCATGGAGGCCCAAAAGTAGTGGAATAACAGATCTAGAGTTGTGAAAGAAAAAAAATGTCAACAAAGATTTCTGTATCTGGAAAAACTAACCTTCAAAAATGAAAGAGAAATCAAGACATTTTCAGGAAAACAAAGCTGAAGGAGTTCATTACCAACAGACTTTCCCTACTCGAAATGCTAAAGAGAGTCCTTCTGGCTAAAATGAGAGGACACTAAACAGAAACTTGAAGCCATAAGAAAAAATAAAGAATATGGTCAGGCTTGGTGGATCAGCCTGTAATCCCGGCACTTTGGGAGGCTGAGGCAGTGGACTGCCTGAGCCCGCAGGCTTGAGGCCAGCCTAGGCAACTTGGCGAGACCTCATCTCTACAATAAATTAGCTGGGTGTGGTAGCTTGTACCTGAAGTTTCAGCTACTTGGAAAGCTGAAGCGTAAGGATCACTGAAGCCTAGACGGTTGATGCTGGGGTGGCTGTGAGCATGCCACTGCACTTCAGCCTGGGCAACAGAGTGAGAGTACAACTCAAAAAAATAAAAAAGAAAAAGAAAAAAATAAAAAATAACATTAGTAAAAGTAACTTTATAGGTAAATATAAAAGTCAATACTACTGTACATTTTATTTGGTTTGTAACTTTTCTTTTTCCCTTTATGAAAGCAAATTCATAAGAAAATTATAAATCTATGTTAATGGATTGAGTAAGATGTAATCTGTGTCAATTGTAGTAAGATGTAATCTGTGTCAATAACAAAATAATAACAAAAGGGAGATTTATAGAAGTGTCTGTGTAATACTTAAACCAAGTTGGTATAGACTAGATTATTACAAGTTTAAAATGTTTATCCTAATCCCCAAGTTAACCACTAAGAAAATACTTAAAAATATACAGAAAAGGAAAGACCGGAATCAAAATAGCACATTGTGAACAAATAAATACAAAAAGGCAGTAATGGAGGAACTGAGGAATCAAAAACATATTCGACACACAAAACACAAATAGCTAATAAATGGAAGAATTAAATCCTACTTTATCAGTAATCACATTAAATGTAAAAGGATTAACTCTTCTATTAAAAGCTAAGATTGGCAGATTGCAATTTTGAAAAACAGGATTCATCTATATGCTGCCTAAAAGAGACTAACTTTAGGTATAAGGATATGCAGAGGTTGAAGGTAAAAGGATGGAAAAAGATATGCCATGCAAATAATAACCAAATGAGAGCTAGGGTAGCTACAGTATAACCAGACAAATAAACTTTAAATCAAGAAAGTTTACAAGACACAAAGAAGGATATTATACATTGAAAAAAGGTTCAGTGGTTCAGCCTGTAATCCCAGCAATTTGGGAGACCGTGGCCAGTGGATTGCCTGAGCCCACAGGTTCGAGACCAGCCTAGGCAA